CTGGGTGTGGTGGCAGGCGCCTGTAATCCCAGCTACTCAGGAGGCTGAGGCACGGGAATCGCCTAAACCTGAGAGGTGGAGGTTGCAGTGAGCCAAGATCGTACCACTGCATTCCAGCCTGGGTGACAGAGTGAGACTCCATCTCAAAAAAGAATTTAAAAAATAAAAAACAAGGGCCGGGCGCGGTGGCTCAGGCCTGTAATCCCAGCACTTTGGGAGGCCGAGACGGGCGGATCACGAGGTCAGGAGATTGAGACCATCCTGGCTCGATCGAGACAGTGAAACCCCGTCTCTACTAAAAAATACAAAAAACTAGCCGGGAGAGGTGGCGGCACCTGTAGTCCCAGCTACTCGGGAGGCTGAGGCAGGAGAATGGCGTAGACCCGGGAGGCGGAGCTTGCAGTGGGCTGAGATCCGGCCACTGCACTCCAGCCTGGGCGACAGAGCGAGACTCCATCTCCAAAAAAATAAATAAATAAAAAACAAAAAATAAAGTAAGCCGGGCCTCCCTGCCATTGCAGAGTGGCTCCATGCACTGTAGATCCCACAGAGATGAACAGTTCCACTCCTCAGCGACTTTGGTCACTACACCCACCCCTTTATTTGCTCTGGGGTTGTGGACGTCCACTTCCATGCCATCACCATTGACACTCAGAGCCCCTGGCTGGCTGGATGCCCTGGGGGTTCCGGAGAGCTCAGCTCACAGGAGCCGCCCGCACCTACTCACTCCCAAATTGAGGCCTGCGGGTTGGTTTCTGTGGTTCAAGGCCTCCCTGTATGGAGTTTTCCAGAGCAGCCATCACCTGCCTTTCCAGAGACAAAAACGTACCTCAGAGCACGGTGCCTGCTCACTCCCAGCCTCCTGGATAAAACGCAGTAACAGCTCACACCGGCCCCGGCAGTTTATTTTATCTGCCAGCCAGCCAGGACCTGGCCTTGCCCAGAAGCCATCGAGTCTATGCTACCAACTTTTTAACATTTTTACAAATTACCAATGTTCAGAGGAACTCAGTTGAAAATCAAAGTGCATGTTAGAAAACGTCGCTATGTCTAAACGTTACATTCACTAGTTAACAAGTCCTCCACCCAAATCACCAGCGGGCAGAGAAAATCAATAACTTTCAGAGCCACCAATAACTCGAGTGGGGCCAACCCTGTCCCCGTCACAGTTCCTTCTTCCCTGAGCCTTTCTCCACCACAGAAATAGGAACACTGGGCGCAGTGCACACTACTGCCTCCTCTTACCCTCAGATGCTGGCCTGGGTGGCCTCACAGGCTGCGCCTGGCTCTGTACACAGCTTCCAGGAAGGGCATGCTGTTGGGAGATGGGCTCCCCATCGTGTCTCCGTCCCAACCGGGTCACTGGCTTTTCTCAAACAACGTCACCTTCCTACTTGCTTGTCATGCTGGGGTTTCTGCAAAGCCTGTGTGCTCACCAGGAGGCACACCACCACCTAGGAGAAAGTTTAACCTGCTCCCAGACACACTCTAATAACCCTCCTGCTGGTGCTGCCCAGGGAGCGGGAGGCAAAGTTCAGGAAGTGTCCTTGCTGGTTTAACAAACAGTTAGTCAGGGCTCAAAACAGAGTGGCTTTTGTTTTTGGCTTCCTAAGCTGATAATGGTTTGTACAAAAGACACATTTCCCCATCATTTCACTAAGGCAGCTCTTTGCTCCAGACACCACCGGTAGTGGGAGAAGGAGGGAGGACGGGAGAGAGCACAGCCCCACGATTCTGGGAGATGTGCCTTACACTCCCTGACTTTCCCTTTGCTCTTCTAGAAACCCTGACAAACAGCACCACCCCCTGGGCTCCACCTGCTCAGATCCTCAGACATCACCGTGCCCAGGAACTCAGCGGCACCACAGTCCATCCCCTTCCACTCTCCCCGCTTACTCAGACACCACAGCAGCAACTTGCCCTTACAAGCTGCCTGCCGAAAGGATCGTTGGGAAAACACTGCGAGCCACAGACCCACCAGCTCGGCCATGACTAACTGCGCACTTCAGCCGACCACCACCGTGCGAGTTCCCAGTAAAAAGAAATGGGTCTGACTGGAACCATTCAGAATATCAATCAATTAAAGGTTTATTTGCCTGAAGATCACCAGTGGAGGGTCCCTGAATAGGGTATCTGGATGGAACACACATACTCCCCACTCATATCTTTATTAGACTTTTTTTTTAAAGATGATGTGATGTACAAACTGTTTTTTAAAAGAGCAGTCTTTCCATAAGTTTCACAGTATCGAACTCCACTTTGTGGAAAATTATATCCCACCCTTAAAAAGCAAAGCAAGACATGGAGGAACTGTAACTGCACATTGACTAAGGGGAAGAAGCCCATCTGAAAAGGCTGCATGCCAGATGGTTCTAGCTCCGTGACGTTCTGGAAAAGGCAGAGCTGTGGAGACACTGAGGATCGGTGGTTGTGGGGGCTGGTATGGGGGATGAGCTGGCACCGAAACGACTCTGTGACACTATAATGCTGGACCTGTCATTCTACATTGTCAAAACACGGAATATACACCACCAAGAGTGAACCCTAAACTATGGACTTCAATTAATAATAATGTATCAGGCCGGGTGCAGTGGCTCACGCCTGTAATCCCAGCACTTTAGGAGGCCAAGGCGGGTGGATCACTTGAACTCAGGAGTTTGAGACCAGTCTAGGCAACATGGTGAAACCCCATCTCTACAAAAAAAAAATACAAAAAGTTAGCCAGGCGTGGTGGTTACTGGGTGTGGTCCCAGCCACTGGAGAGGCTGAGAAAGAAGGAACACTTGAGCACAGGAGGCCGAGGTTGCAGTGAGCCAAGATCAAGATCGTACCACTACACTCCAGCCTGGGTAATAGAGCAGATTGTCTCAAACAAAACAAAACAAATAATAATGTATCAGTATTTGGTCCCGGAATGCTCTACACTATGTTCCATTTTCTGTAAACCTAAAATTGCTCTAAAACATGAAGTATATTCATTTTTTTTAAGTAAACAAACTTTCTTCCTGTGGGCGGCAAGCCACCCAGGTGCTGAGGCAAGAGACTGAGGGCACGAGCTGTTTTAGAAAAAACCACCGACCCTATGGGGCTAGACCTGCCCTTCCATTCTAAAAAAGAAATCAGGATCTAAAACTATGAGAAGATTCACTCTGACACGTCAGGTTCCCACCCTTCTGAAGTGACCAGCGTGAGGCTCGGCCACGCCCTTCAGACCACACAGGCCTTTAAGGATAAAATGCATTGGTGCCTTCAGTGCCTCGAGTAATGTAATTCAAGGTATCCATGCCCAGGGCTGCTGTAACAAACTAACACAGACCACGTGGCTTGAAGAAACACCAGTTTATCCTTTCTCAGTTCTGGAGGCTGGAAGTCCAAAGCCAAGGTGTGAGCAGGGCTGGCTCCTGCCTAAGGCTCTCGGAGAGGACGCATCCTTGCCTCTGCTGGCTTCTGGGAGCCCCCGGAGTTCCCTGGCTCAGTCTCTGCCCCGTCTTCCTATTGCCTTCTCCCTGTGTGTCTCTCCCCTGTCTTCCAGGGACACCTGTCACTAGATTTAGGGCCCAAACCAGCATGATGTCATCTTGAGATCCTTAATGAACTACATCCACAAAGACCCTTTTTCCAAATAAGGTCACACCCACAGCTTCTGGGTGGACGTATCTTTTGAGAGGCCACTCTTCAGCCACTGCACCATACATAGGACATAAAAAATCAACAATGCCCTAACAAACATGAGAGGGGGATAAAAAGACAGACACAAGTGAGAAAGAGTGCCCAGGCACATGAACACCCAGGAACACAGTTCCCCGGACGCTGCAGACCAAGGCCTCTGGGTTACCCTGCAGGACCTTGGGTGTCTCCTCGTGAAGAAGCCGGGTCCTTCTCAAGGCACAGGAGCTGCCGTCTGCAGTCTTGGGGTCTCCCAGCATGTTCCACACACTGCAGCCATGCGAGAGGGCCCAACTCCCACTACACGCCCTCTTAGCCAGCACCTCACCGCTGCCTCATATGCAGAAAGGCACAGCCAAACGTGGGACCCACAGTGGGCACCCTGGCCCCGGAAGCTGCAGCCCAGCTGATAACCGGGACTCCGCTCTAAGGGAGGACCACCCCTGGGGTCTATGTGGGCAGAAGGGAAGCTGCCCACCTGAGGGTGACTAATCCCTGGGGCAGCTTCTTGGAGCAGGGAACGGAGTACAATCCCATGGCTCCCACTGTCCAGTGGCATCCAGAAGCGACTCAAAAACTACGCGGTGCCAGCCTCAGCTTTCGAGAAGTCAGGGCACAGAGGACTGACCTGAGAAGCTCAGGCCCCACTGGCCGGCAGCTCAGCCCTTCTGGGGCCCGTGCTCGGCAGCAGGCTGACCAGGACTGGCGGCTGCCACCTCCACCTTCCCCGCGGTTCCCAAGGGCCCAGGTTCAACTTCATGCATTTTCTGCGGCAGCCACATGGCTCTCCTGGAATCCCACCCTCCAGACCGGTGGACATGGTTACACTCTGTCCACCACGACTATGCTCGAAGACCCTCTCCCCAGCTATGTTGAGAACAAGGGACCCACAGTGACAGGAGACACCACGTCACTGTGACAACCCTGGCTGCATCTGGGAGCAGGGTGGAGGACAGCCAAGCAGGGGCAGACATTAGTCAGGCATCCCCAAACACAGAAAATCATTTGCATGTTGACAAAAGGAATCCTCCCAAGCCCTCTGCTCCACCTGTGCCTGGAGCCTGGCAGCGGGTGGTCGTGACGTCACTGCCCACCCCGCCTCTGCTGGCTGACAGGCCCTGGGGGTGGACTCCTGCCCAGGCTGAGAGGACGTGTGGGACAGACAACTGTGGGCCTCCTGTCACAGCCACACAGCCCCACGGTGCACACAGGGCAGGAGGCCTCACGCCAGCTTCTACAGAAGACAGCCCGGGAGCAGGAGGCACAAGCCGCAGGGCATAAAGGAAGAGGTGGATGCCAGACTTCCCCCAAGCTCCTGGGTGAAAACCACTTGCCTCGTAGGTAACGAAGTCATCGAACTCATCCGGGCAGGCCAGGGGCTCCTCGTCTTGGGCAGAAGCGACGCCACCGTAGCACTGGCCATCGGGATCTGCAGGGAGAAGACCTCGTGCTCAGCAGGTCACCCACAGCCACCCAGTGACAGGACCCCTGGCGGCCTCAGGGCTCCCAGGGAAGGAGGCCCTCAGGGACAGATGTGTGGGAGTTGGGGACCCTGCGGGGGTCAAGACAAGCAAAGGAGTGAATGTGAGAAGTTCAGGGAGAGAAAACAGCCTTGAGGACAGGTCAGAGACGCATTCCCCATGGGAACAAGGCTTCTGGAGAGAATTCTGAGGAGGAGGTGTGGAGGCAGGAGGAAAACTTTTTATTTCTTAAAAGAAGCAGACAGTGCTGCAAAAAAAAAAAAAAGAGAGAGCAAGATGTTGAGCTCTGTAAAACTGCTCATGGCCTTTAATAAGTGTTAGGTACCACTCAGATTTTTTTTTTTTTTTGAGACAGAGTCTCGCTGTGTCGCCCAGGCTGGAGTGCAGTGGTACAATCTCACTGCAAGCTCCGCCTCCCGGGTTCACGCCATTCTCCTGCCTTGGCCTCCCCAGTAGCTGGGACCACAGGCGCCCGCCGCCACGCCCGGCTAATTTTTTGTATTTTTAGTACAGACGGGGTTTCACTGTGTTAGCCAGGATGGTCTTGATCTCCTGACCTCATGATCCACCTGCCTCTGCCTCCCAAAACCAGTCAGATTTAAACCTTTAAAAACATTTACATGAGAAGGTGTAGGTATGATGAAATAATATGAAAACAACATCTTTTCCTGGGTGCTGGGCTCACGCGCAATTTTCACTTTCTTTTCTTTCTTTTTTTTTGCTTATCTTCTATAATCAGTGTTTTATGAGAAAAACTTTAAAGGAAAAGCTATCCTCTCGTGAGAGGCTATAATTCTTACGTTAGCTACAGTCATCACTTTGCAAACACAACCCATCCTGCAGCACCTGCCTCTCCTCCTGTAGGAAAAGGCAGTGGCTTCCAGCCTCTCAGTGATATTCACAGGTCAAAGCACCTTCCAGGGCCTGTGAGTGACAGAAGACACTTAGGTGTCCTCACACTGTCTCACTATTAATTCAACTACTTGCTTAAAATACACCAGCTACTTACAACATAGCAGTACTTACTCAATACCTTTAACACAATCTATTCTAATGTCAATCACTTATTTTAAAAGTGAAGGTTGGGGCCAGGCATGGTGGCTTATACCTGTAATCCCAGCACTTTGGGAGGCTGAGGCAGGTGGACTGCTTCAGCCCAGGCAATTGAGACCAGCCTGGGCAACATGGTGAAACCCCATCTCCACAAAAAATACAAAAATTAGGTCGGGTGCAGTGGCTCACACTTGTAATCCCAGAACTTTGGCAGGCTGAGGCGGGAGGATCATTTGAGGTCAGGAGTTCAAGACCAGCCTGACCAACATGGTGAAACCCCATCTCTACTAAAAACAGTAAAAATTAGCTGGGCATGGTGGCGAACACCTATAATCTCAGCTAATTGGGAGACTGAGGCAGGAGAATCACTTGAACCTGGGAGGCGGATATTTCAGGGAGCCGAAATAGCACCACTCTGCACTCCAGCCTGGGTGACAGAGCAAGACACTGTCTCAAAAAAAAAAAAAAAAAAAAAGACAAGAAAAAAATTAGCTGGGCATGGTGGCACACACCTGTAGTCTCAGCTACTCTGGAGGCTTGAGCCAGGCAGGCAGAGGATACAGCTGGCCAAGACTGCACCACTGCATTCCAGCCTGGGTGACAGAGCAAGACCCTGTTGCAAAGAAAAAATAAAAGTGGAGACCAGGCATGGTGGCTCACACCTGTAATCCCAGCACTTTGGAAGACTGACGCTAGAGGATTGCTTAAGTCCAGGAGTTCAAGACTGGCCTGGGCAATATAGCAAAGATCCTGTGTCTACAAAAAATAAAGATAAGGCAAGGCGCAGTGGCTAACGCCTATAATCCTAGCCCTTTGGGAGGCTGAGGCGGGCAGATCACTTGAGATCAAGAGTTCCAGACCAGCCTGGCCAACATAGTGAAATCCCGTCTCCACTAAAACAATTAACCAGGTGTGGTGAGTGCCTGTAGTTGCAGCTACTCGGGAGGCTGAGGCACAAGAATCACTTGAGCCTGGGAGGTGGAGGCTGCAGTGAGCTGAAATCGCGCCACTGCACTCAGCCTGGGTGACGAAGTGAGACCCTGGCTCATAAATACACACATAAATAATAAATTAAAAATAATAAAAAATAGGCAGGGTGCGGTGGCTCACGCCTGTAATCCCAGCACTTTGGGAGGCTGCGGTGGGCAGATCACGAAGTCAGGAGTTCGAGACCATAGTGGCCAACATGGTGAAACCCTGTCTCTACTAAACATATAAAAATTAGCTGGGCATGGTGGCACGTGCCTGTAATCCCAGCTACTTGGGAGGCTGAGGCAGGAGAATCGCTTGAACCAGGACCCAGGAGGTGGAGGTTGCAGTGAGCCAAGATCACACCACTGCACTCCAGCCTGGGCTACAGACAGACTGTCTCAAAATAATAATAATAATAAATTAAAAATTAAAAAATTAAATTACATTTTAAAATGCTAGCAGTTGGCTGGGCGTGGTAGCTCATGCCTTTAATCCCAGCACTTTGGGAGGCCGAGGCGGGCGGATCACAAGGTCAGGAGATGGAGACCATCCCAGCTAACATGGTGAAACCCCGTCTCTACTAAAAAACACAAAAAATTAGCCGGGTGTGGTGGCGGGCGCCTGTAGTCCCAGCTACTTGGGAGGCTGAGGCAGGAGAATGGCGTGAACTCAGGAGGTGGAGCTTGCAGTCAGTTGGGATTGCGCCACTGTACTCCAGCCTGGGCGACAGAGCGAGACTCCGTCTCAAAAAATAAAATAAAATAAAAAATAAAATGCTAACAGTCTTGCCTGCACTTCCAAACACTGAAACACCGAACTAAAAACTTTCAAAACACAGCAAAGCGTTTTGGACACAGTGCATGAGAGCTCAGGTTCTGACAGTGGGCAAACAATCTGAGGGTCTTGCCCCAGAGGGCAGAGCGAAGATATGAACACAGATGGCATTTTAATATTCTTGGTAGGACCTAAATACCATCCTCATATCAGTTTTCTCTATAACAACTAAAACAATTTTCAATTAGCTGGGAATTTTTCGTGTGCGTTTCTCTTATTTTTCCAGAGCATGAGGGGTGTGTGAGACACAGCAATGGCCTATTTGGAACAATTCCCTCTCTATCTCATTCTATTCCTGAAACAAGGCCTGTGGCTGTGACGGTAAAGCCTCCTTGTGCTTCCCTGCAAACTAGGCCAGCACATCCTGCTGGCCACTCCTTGACGCAGCGGGGCTGACAGACAACACAGGCTGCCGCAGCCACAACAGAGGTAACACCTGAAGTGAACCTCGGCTGAAGTGCGGTTTGGGTGATCACATTTTTCTTTCCTCTAAGTGCTATGAAATAATTCCATTCGATTTCGTTTTATTCTACTCTCACTCTCCTTCCTAATGGAACGTAAATCATGACATCAAATTACACAACAGCAAAGCAGAGCCCGCAGCCCCAGAGGCCATGTGTCTAATGCCATGGTGGCACCTCCTCCCTGACGCCCCAGCACCTCCTCCCTGAAACCCCAGCACCTCCTCCCTGACACCCTAGCACCTGCTTCCTGAAGCCCCAGCACCTCCTCCCTGAGGCCCACTCCACTCTGCTGTCAGCTCTGCAGTCGGCTCGGTGTCCCACCCCTCACACCAGCTCTCAGGGATGTCCCACCAGCCTCTTCAGGAGCCTGAGGCTGGAGACAGAATTGTGAGGCCTGCCTCTCACCTCCTCCTTGTGACCCTGCCTCCCCGTGGCCTCCAAACGTGCCAGGTGCAGCCCTGCTGGGATGCTGCCTTCCCATCCCGCACGTTCTCAGGGAGGCCTCCCCGCTCCTCTGCCTCCCTAGCTCCCGCCTGTTTGTGGTCTGTCTCCCACTGGAAAGCCAGCTCCCAAGGGAAGCGGTTCTGCACTTCCGTTTCGTGCTACGTCTCAGAGCCTGGAACAGGCTAGTTCGACGGCACTCATGGGACCGTTGCCCCATTTGTCCCCACCCATGGTCCTGACAGGTCCCAGCTGTGCTCTCCCTCGGCTGCAGCCACCTCCACCAGCCTGGCTCAAGCTCTCCTGCAGTGAGACAGGAGAGCCCTGGCTGGCTCACGATGTCTAGCTCACCGCCCTCTCAAGTAGACAGCCACAGGAGCACCCCAGGCCCACCTGTCAGCTGCTGGGAAGGAGAGAGGGGTGACCCAGCTGTTGTGGGATTGACCCAGGTGAAGGCAAGGAAAGAAGGGAACGATGTCTGGGAGAAGGCCCCACCTTGGCATGTCAGGTGGCTGGGAAACCACTAAGAAACATCTGGAGACGGGCTGTCCTTGGGCCATCACTCTCTCACCCCTTCAGTCACTAAGCCAAGATGCTGGCAACCACAGGCAGCCACAGTCCACAGCTGGCAGCCCCCAGGCTTCCCAGACAGAGCATCAGGCTCCTCCGAGGGCAGCAAGCCAGGCTGGAGGCTTCATTCTGCTCAGTGGGCAAAGCCCACCCCAGGGCATGGGCCTGCCAGGAGGATACCCTGACTGCTGAGCTGAGAGTGGGCACCTTCCAAGCCAAGGCCTCCCAGGAACCCCTAGAGCTGAGCTTGCCCCATTTCGTGTTAGCCATGGTTCACAGGAGCAAACCAATCCTCACCCTGAGGACAGAATCATGGACCCAGGTGGCTCCCTCCTGCCCATACCATGGCACCCAGGGCCACTGCTGTTCCCAGTCTTGACTCTGCAGAGGGATCTGAGCACCTTACCTGCCCAAACCTACAAAAAGCCGTCTTAACTCTCCATGACAGGCTGTGTCCCTGACCCCGAGGGAACACATCTCTGGCCCAAATCGCCTGCAGGCCGCCCTCAGTTACAGGCCCAGGAACACACTCTGCCAGCCACATTGTGCAGAGCAAGTTTACCCTATGACAAGCTAAGACCAGCACCCAGTGACTGGCGAGGGCCCTGAGTACTCTGAGTCTTTGTGGCACCAAGGAAATGGGTTGTAACACTTATAACAAGACCAGCAGTCAACAAATAATTTCTGGTTTTACACAAAATGCATAGAGTTACAGTCCTGTTCCCTGTGATTTCATACACGTGCCTGTCACTAGAAAATGAACCAATGCAGGCAGGGCGCGGTGGCTCACGTCTGTAAGCCCAGCACTTTGGGAGGCCAAGGTGGGTGGATCACCTGAGGTCAGGAGTTCGAGACCAGCCTGGTCAACATGGCAAAACCTTGTCTCTAACACAAAAAATTAGCTGGGAGCAGTGGCGCGAGCCTGTGGTCTCAGCTACTTGGGAGGCTGAGGCAGGAGAATCGCTTGAACCTTGGAGGCGGAAGTTGCAGTGAGCCGAGATCACGCCACTGCACTCTAGCCTGGGTGACACAGCAAGACTCCATCTCAAAAGAAAAAGGAGCCAGTGCTGACAGGTTGTGACTACCGACAGGCCACCGACACTCCCCTCTAAGCTCACATCTACTTCCCTCTGTATTTTCCAAACAGTCCCCATGAGATGCCCTGCCACACTGCACCTTGCCCCATTTTCCATCCTCCAATCTTCCAAAATGGTTACATCACCATCTTCGGTTACATCAATATTCAATTTAATTATTATGACTATGTAAAATATGGCTTGTTGGCCAGACACGGTGGCTCAAGCCTGCAATCCCAGCACTTTGGGAGGCCGAGGCAGGCGGATCATGAGGTCAGGAGATCGAAACCATCCTGGCTAACATGGTGAAACCCCGTCTGTACTAAAAATACAAAAAATTAGCCGGCCGTGGTGGTGGGCGCCTGTAGTCCCAGCTACTTGGGAGGCTGAGGCAGGAGAATGGCGTGAACCCAGGAGGCAGAGCTTGCAGTGAGCCGAGACTGCGCCACTGCACTCCAGCCTGGGGGACAGAGCAAGACTCCGTCTCAAAAAAAAAAAAAATATGGCTTGTTACTGGACCAAGAAGTACAGGCTCTCTTATTCCACTTCTTGTTTTTCATGGAAGTGGTAACGGCCGCCTGGGGTCTTGTGCTTGGCCTCCATGCACCCCCATCTCAGCCCCAAACACTGAAGCCTCTCTGATGACAGCAAGTTCTGGGGGTCCCCAGGCTCCCTCACCATCAACCTAGAAGCCGGCATCCAGTAATCCTTGACTTAAGAGTGAAGATGAAACAGCCATACAAAACAAAAATGACAAAGCTACCAGCTTCATGAGGGGCTTTTCTCCTCCCTGCGACTGAGACCAAGCAGACGTGAGCCTCCAGCTGGCACCTCCATGAACTCAGGGGACCAATGGCTAGAAAAGAAGCATCCTCTCGGGCATACCACCCCATGCATAAAAACCACCCAGCCAGCCCAACAAATACCAAAGCATCAGTGTCATGAAGATCGCATTCTCTATTACACACAAAATGCAGTTTGGAATTAATGGCAAGTTTTTTGTTTTGCTTTGTTTTGTTTTGTTTTTTGAGACAGGGTCTGTCACCCAGGCTGGAGTGCATGGAGTGCAGTGGCACAAACACAGCTCACTGCAGCCTCCACCTCCTGGGGTCAAGGGATGCTCCCACCTCAACCTCCCAGGCAGCAGGGCCCACAGCATGCGCCACAATCTCAGCTCCTTTTTTATTTTTTTTGCACAGCCAAGGTCTCGCTATGTTGCCCAGGCTGGTCTTACCCTCCTGGGATCAACTGATCCTCTCACCTCAGCCTCCCAAAGTGCTGGGATTACAGGAATGAGCCACTGTGCCTGGCCCATAATGGATTTTTCAAACTAAGACGAAAAAGTTTACACCTAGACTCTCCCCTGAGCTAACCAGTGAATCAGTTAGAGGACAAACTCATCCCGAGGGTCATGGGCAGGACTGCCATGTCATGAGTAACCTGAGGAGAACCAGACTTTCCAGAAGGCCTGGAGGGAGGACCTGCAGCACACCATGCAGCAAGCCTCAAGGCACAGGATGCGAGAGCCAAAATTCTCACAAAGCCGCTACTGAAAGCTTTGTGCAGAAGGACAAAGGTTAAATAAATTTATCAAGTACACATCTATCCTCAAGACATTACTTAAGGGTTGCAGCGTATCAGTTAGACTGAGACACGGCCCCATCAGCCTCAACCTGCTGGTGCTCAGCCTGCAGACTCTAAGGCCTCCTGACTGTCCTCTTCCTCCCCCTTCTCCTGCCAATGCTGCCTCCTGAGGATCTGTGGCTACCTGCTCTGCCCATTGCTCTGCAGGCCCCTTGACCCAGAGCTTGCCTGCACCCTCCTCTCAGCCTCCAGGGCCTGCAGTCTCTCTCCATCCTCGCCCCACCTAAGGACTGCTTCCTCACCTGGGCCAGGTGGTCTTTACCTGGTTGTCAGGGTGTCCTTTCTCCCCTCGACCCCTCCTCAGAGAGGGCTGCCTGCCTAGTTCCCATCTCATCCCCGGCCTGCTACAATGACAGTGGCAGCACCTCACCCATTTGTCCTCCTGCCGCCACCCACTGGCCTTGCTCTGGTGCTGGTTCACTACAAAGGCCCTAGGGCCAAGCCCAGCGCAGAGGCCATGATGGTCCCACAACACATTCATGGGTGAAAGAACAGACAGTGGAATACAGAGTAACAAACGGGGAACAGACTGGGCATGGTAGCTCATGCCTGTAATTCCAGCAACTTGGGAGGCCAAGGTGGGCGAATCACCTGAGGTCAGGAGTTTGAGACCAGCCTGACCAACATGTTGAAACCCCGTCTCTACTAAAAATACAAAATTAGCCAGGCACGGTGGTGCATACCTGTAATCCCACCAGCTACTCAGGAGGCTGAGGCAGGAGAATTGCTTGAACCTGGAAGGCGGAGGTTGCAGTGATATGAAATCGTGCCATTGCACTCCAGCCTGGGCAACAAGAGCAAAACTCCGTCTCAAAAAAAAAAAAAAAAAAAAAAACAGGGAACAACACACAGCACATTCCCCAGAGCCATCAAAGGACTTGGCATCTGATAAAACTCAGTACCTTAGAGACACTGTCAGGCAATAATTTTGTGGAGGAGACAGACAAGACCTGAGGTCGAGGCCCAAGGGCATCCATCAACCTGACTGCACCTGCCAACTCTGCAGGACCCAGCCAAGGTCTGACTTACCCTGCACGTGCAGGAAGGAGGGAAGGGCCCGCCACCGTCACCCCTACACCGCCTGGCCAAACATGAAAAATGAGAAGGCCTGTTCAGAGCTTCAGAACTTGACGTAAGACGGACAGTGCACAGGGACTGGTAAGAGTGTGAAACGGCACGGCCACTGTGAAGAACTGACTTCATCCCAGCACATCACCCACTCCTAGATACAGGCCCCAATGACTTGACGACACGCGTCTACACAAAGACTTGTACACAAACATGCCCATCACCAGGAGAATGAAGAAATGAAATACGGAACAAGCACACAATGAACGCTGCCCCCACAATGGACAGCACAGAGTCTGAAACATGCAAACCACACAGATGAATCTCAGAGGCATCGTGCTGGGGAAGGGATAGTGTTGGGGAAGGGATTGTGCTGGGGAAGGAGTCATGCTGGGGAAGGCGTCGTGCTGGGGAAGGGGTCGTGCTGGGGAAGGCGTCGTGCTGGGGAAGGGGTCGTGCTGGGGAGGGGTCGTGCTGGGAAGGGGTCCCGTGCTCGGAACCCGTCCGTCGTCTGGGGAAGGGTCGTGCTGGGAAAGAAAGCCAAGGTAGAGCACACGGCCCTCAGGCAGGTGGAACTGGCCAGGCATGGTGGGTTCCCGCCTGTAAATCCAGCACCTCAGCTTTGTGGGAAGCTGAAGCGGAGTGGGATCACTGACGTCAGGGATTCAACCAGCCCCGTCCCAACATGGTGAACCCCCGTCTCTACAAAAATAAAAAATTAGCCGAGCATCCGGTGCGGGTGCCTATAATCCCGCTATACGAGAAGGCTCAGGCAGGAGAACTGCTTGAACCCGGGAGGTGAAGGGTGCAGTGAGCTGAAATCGGGCCATTGCACTCAAGCCTGGGCAATGAGAGTGAAACTCAGTCTCAAAAAAAAAAAAAGAGAGAGACAGAGGCAAAACTAATCCACGGTGACAGAAATCAGCAACGGTGCCAGCAGGAGGGAAGGCACTGCCTGAGGGCAAGGGGTATGCGGGACCCACATGGGGACAGTGATGCGTGTGACAGGCTCCGCACTGCCAGGCATGGGACTCTGTCGGAGCTCACAGAGGAGCAGGCGTGAGCTGTACATTTCACTACAGGTAAATTTTTACTCAAAGGAAGACTGGAAACAAACACTGAGCTCTAGGGAATGATGGTGGTGTGGGCTGCAGTGTTCAGGGCGGTGTGCGTGGAAGCATGCTGATTGCAAACACATCCCATTCGAGAGGGTCTGGGGGACAGACGAGATGGACAGAGACGTGGAGAGAGTGCAACAAAGTGCTGCCTGCAGAGCACGGTGGTGAACACCCACGTGGGTGGCCATGGAATCATTCTTTCAGTACTTTGAAAATTCTCAAATTTCCATCATGAAATCTTAGAGGAAAGGGGCAATTGCTTTCTAGCATTATGGAAAAGTAGTTGACTCAGCCAATTCTGGAAGACAGGGTGTGTGAGGAGAAAGTAACAAGAAAGGAAGGAGACCACCTGGAAACCTGGGGTATGTTGGGGGCTTCATGGAGAAGGAACGACGACAGAGTCGGCACGAGGAGCCCAGTGACGTGCAGGTGGCTGAGAGGATGGCTGAGGAAGGGGAGAGGAGGTGGGAGCTCACGGCTGGGACGACTGACCTCCGTTTCTGATAGCTGTGATCCCTTGGTAGAAGTCTTCAAAGCTGATCACGCCGAGCCCACTGGGATCCAAGTACTTAGTTAAGTCCTTCACCTGTAATTGCCAAATGAGACCAGGTTACCCTAAGCCTTTACAGCAGGGGTCCCCAACCCTGGACCTCGGACTGGGACAGATCTGGTCTATGGCCTGCTGAGAACGGGGAGGCACAGCAGGAGGTGAGGGAGCACTACCGGCTGAGTTCCCCTCCTGTCAGATCAGCAGGGGCAGGGTATCAGGGTCTCACAGGAGTGCAAAGCCTCCCGTGGGCTCCGCATGTGAGGGGTCCAGGTTGTGCGCTCCTTATGAGAATCTAACGCCTGACGACCTGAACAGTTTCATCCTGACACCACCCTGACCCCCGACCCGTCTGTGGAAAAGTGTCTTCTATGAAACCAATCCCTGGTGCCAGGAAGGCTGGGGGCCACTTTAGGGAATCAGGATTAGGTTGTATCACGTGCTTGGCTTTTTCACCAAAAGCACAGAAGCCGCCAATGTGGCGGTGCTGACAGCGACAACGTCTGACTGCACATACAAGAGGCAGCACAGCCTTCACAGGCCACTGCGGAAGGCCACAGCCACAGGACAGGCAGCACCCTGTAAATGGGCTGCCAGCAGCACCTGGTGTGATGAACCACGGGAGTGGGACCCTGGCCACTGAAAGCAGCCAGGGTCTTATGTGGGGAGATCAGTTCTGAAGTTTTAGATATTGATCTGGCAAGGATCCAGCAGGCGAACATAGATATGTTACATAGATAACATAGATAAGCGGCCGGGCGCGGTAGCTCATGCCTGTAATCCCAGCACTTTGGGAAGCCGAGGCGGGCGGATCATGAGGTCAGGAGATCGAGACCATCCTGGCGAACACGGTGAAACCCCATCTCTACTAAAAATACAAAAA